AGGGTGACGGTAGAGCCAGCTCTTGGCCTTGGACATTGTAGTGGAGCCGCCACCTTCAATCATGTAGGACATGAGCGTCCACTGTGGGAAGGAGTGGAGTGAAGAGGGTGATGGACATGGAACAAGACACACAGGGCCGGTCACAGTGCTGAAGGTAGGACCTGTGAGCACCCCAGAGCATGAGGCACAGCTGCTTCTGCATTGAATAGCCCCCCCATCTATGCACCCCTCTAACACCCACAGTTCTGGGGGGGGTGTCATGGTTGGTGTCACCCTAGAAGAAAGAGCAGAGAAACCGAGCTGGGAAGCCCACGTGGAGGAGCCACAACACTTACAGGTGCCCCGGAGAAGCCGATGAGGGGCACCCTGCCCTCCAGGCTGTGTCGTGTCAGCGTGATGGCCTCAAAGACGTAACCCAGTTCCGCGGTCACGTCCACCTTCTGTCGCAGTTTCAGCAGATCCTCCACCTCCTTCAGGGGCTCTGTGAATGTGGGTCCTTTGCCAGGGACCATGACAACCTCCATGCCCAGCGCCTGGGGACAGGGGAGAACGGAAGAAACGGGAATGGCCTGGCCCTGGACCCAGCCCTGTTCGCACCCGCTGCTCCCCACCACCGGCCATGGCTTTCACCTGGGGCACCACCAAGATGTCGGAGAAGATGATGGCAGCATCCAGGGGGAATCGTCTGAGTGGCTGCAGAGGGGAAGAGGCAGCATCAGTGAGGGGCTGGGACACCCTCCCCATGGAGGACCTGGACAAGCACATGGGGCAGTGGGGTTCCCAACAGCTTCACAACTTACTGGGGCCACCCAGGGTGGCCAGACCCAAGGTTTCTCCCCATCCCCATCTGGGCAGGGAGAGGGGACACACAGACCCCACCCCAGAGATTCTCACCTGCAGAGTCAGCTCACAGCACAATTTGGGGCTCCGACAAGTGGCGAAGAAATCCTGTGCCGCCCGGGTCTCCCGAAACTCTGCAAGGGACCGGTAGGAGTGTTACGGTGTGCATGCCAGTCCCCCCTTGCCGTTCTCCCCCATACCCCTCCGCCTGCTCACCG